AATTGTGCGCACACCAAGCTTTGCTAAACTTATTAAAACACAAAGATGCAGTCAGCGAAGTTCGTAGCCGTCTTTGTGGGCTGCCAGGTAAGATCATTTGTGGTGTTGCCCGGCTTACTAAAGAAAGCGGCAACGAGCCGAACAGGTGGATGGAAAATATGGTATGTTATGTACTAATGGTAGGCATTCACATGCCAACCGCTCCACAGCACCCCTAAACCACCCAGATCCCACAGCACCCCTAAACCACCCAGATCCCACAGCACCCCTAAACCACCCAGATCCCACAGCACCCCTAATCCACTCCCCCAACCCAACAGTTCCCCTAAGCCACACAGATCCCACAGCACCCCTGAATTACCCCCTTCCTACAGCACCTAATGCCCCCAACAATTGACTAATAACCCTGCGGAGTTTCTGAAACCATGGAAATCATCACTACAACTTGTAGACCTGAATCCACTTTTTTAGTTATTTGGAGGGTTACAACCCGTCAGCTTTTTTTTGTCCTGTGACCTTCACTTCCTGTCCAATAGCCACAACAGAAAAAGAGGAAATCCTTGCAAGCGAGGGAACCCCTTGGTAGGGGTCACCAGAACTAGTGCCCCCCCACCCCCACTGGAAGATTTTCCCTCTATTCCCGCTTTGGTCACAAGACAAAATTTGGGATTTACCTTCACTTTCGGTGATAACGGTCACCAGGACAAAGAGTATGAATCTCCCTGAAGGGGAAACCAATAAAAACCTTACAGTGGTTTCTAATCCTCTACGCCAGGGGCGCCCACTATTTTTCGTCTGGAGATCTACTTTTCAAATGACGAGCTCATTGAGATCTACCAACGAAAAAACACCTGCATTCAGGGGCGGGAGGGGGCGTGGCGGTGCATTGAAGTCAATGGCACCGCAGCCAGGCTCCACAGGCAGGCCCCTCGCCCACAGTGCGATCGCCTGCATTAGTGCCTGTGTTCCAGTCCAGTGCGATCCGCAAAAATGCTGCAAGCACTATTTTTGCAGATCGCACTGGACCGGAATGCAGGCACTAATGTGCCTGCGTTCCGAGTGCGGGCGATCGCAATGTGGGCGATGCCATTGACTTCAATACCGCTCCACACCCCCTCCCGCACCTGAACGCAGGGAGTCGGCCGGCTTACATTCCAGTGCGCCCTACATGTCCCGGCGTCCTGTCCTCCCGTGGTGCTCGTGTGGCCGACGTTGCACATGGGGTGTCCTGCACCTTTCCATCTGCAGCGTCTGACACATTCAGCCGGCAGCCGCATGAGCACCACGGGAGCATAGCCGTAGCCAGCTCCTTTTGCGCCTGAGGCAAGAAAAAAAAACAATGTTTTTTTAATTTATTTTTTTATTTTCATTTATTTTTAATTTTCGTAATTTTTTTTTTATACTCTTGGGGGGTCTTCGGGGAAATATTAGGGGTCTAAAAAGCCCCCTATTTCCCTTTTAAAATAGAAAAAGAAATTGAGGACATCGGGAGGAGAGGACATGGCGATCTACCAGTGATCGCTACGCGATCGACCTTGTGGGCACCCCTTCTCTACGCCATCCAAAACTAAAAAAAAAAAACGTTTTGGCTTCAGTTTGCACTTTAAGCTGCTTTGACATCAGGCTGGTACCGCAGGGTGCCCTCACTCTTGTCCCAGCCGTTATGGAACTACAAGTACCATAAGGCATTGCAACCCTGACAGTTACGGGCATGACTCCCAGAGAGCAGGTTGGGATTTGTAGTTAAAAGCACAGATGGGAGGGGCTGGGGTTACCCCCACCCTATCCCAACCCCCATACATCTCACAGGCCGATTCCCAAAAGTCTTCAGTATTACAACCTACAAAACAAGGAAAATACAGATGTACAAGAACAGGACAACTTACCTTGCCGATGACAAAAATATTGGAAAGCCTGGTGGCAAAGCTGTTGCCGTTGGCGTCCTTCACGTGGACCACATCAAATGAGCCAGGGTGTCTCTCCCTGTTGGTGATGATACCGATGCGACCCAAGTTGGCACCTCCGGTCACCATGCACAGGTTACCTAGAGACAAGGGTGACTGTCAATATATCACGTTGCAGCATTACGTTAGTAACAGATGTATGGAAATGAAGTGCGATATACCTGTCACTGGTTAAAGATTCACAGACAAGGAGTGCTCCCATCAGACACCGAGCGGCGCGTGCTCGCGGGGGACGGTAAAAACATTTTTCATTCATTTATTTTAAAAACTGTTTTTGTTTAACTTTGATTGGTATCACATGGGGGTCTTACAAGCCCCCCATGTGATAGCAGATGGTGGTGTCAGGTACTCTTTAAAAGGTGATGCTGGGGGTCCAAAAGAACCCCAGTGTCACCTTTACACTCCAAATAAGCTATTGAAGTGCAGATCGCACTTCAATAGCTTATAGTTGGGCTTCAGGAGCCCGGAACTGACAGCTCCGGAAGTGATGCAATTTACATCGCTTCCGGTCCCGTAGAACAGGGAGGGGATCGACGAACAGAGGATCGTCCATCTCCTCCCAGACACCAGCGAAGCCGGTCCTGGGCCCGTAGGAGGGGCAACGGAGCCCAGGAAGCACGCCAGGGGTGGGACCCTTTCACCGGGCTGTAGAAGCGATCTAGCGACAGCCGAGTCGCCAGAATCGCTTCGGTTGTAAAGCAGACAGTCGGCTTTACAAGTTTAAACAGAGTACGCGCGGCAAAAGTCGCCGGGAGCCTGTTTAAACAGCCCCGATGCTGGCGACCTACACTGTACGTCCTCAGTGAAGGGGTTAAAATTAGGTGCAGCCGGCAGTAGCACTGTGTCAAAGCTGTAGGCCTGGGGTAGCCAAACTCCGGCCTTCCAGCTGTGGTCACCCTACAAATCCCATGATGCATCTCTCTCCGGGAGTCATGTCTGAGAATCTTGCAATGCCTCATGGGATTTGTAGTTCCACCACAGCTGGAGGGTCAGAGTTTGGCTACCCCTGCTGTAGGGGGTCATGCTGCTGCCGGGATCATTACTACATGGCATGCTGACAACGCTACCATGGCATTGGGTCCCTTTCAGCTAAAGTCCTGTACTGACAGGAGCACAAGGGCCTATGACAGGAGGCTACTTCGGTCCTCCAGCTCTGGTTCATCTATAAATCCCCACCATGCTTCTGCAAGTCACTCGTGGTTACCAGCCTTGCAATGACTCATGGGACTTGTAGTTCCACAACAGCTGGAGTGCCGAGGTTGCCTACCACTGGGCCTAATGTGTAACTATAGTAAGGTATAATCGTCACACCACCTACCAGTATCAAACTTGATGAAGTCTGTAATCTTGCCGGTCTCCAGATCGATCTGAACTGTATCATTGACCTTGATCAATGGGTCCGGGTAGCGGATGGTACGGGCGTCATGGGTCACCAGGTGGGGGATTCCTTTTGTTCCCACCCACGTCTTCCTCACTTTGCACAGCTTGTACTGAAAAAGATTAAATGGAACATTGTTGGAAACCAGTTTCCTTTGTTATCTTCGCTGCAGCCAACTTTTCCCACCAACAAAATGAACATTTCAGTGCCAAGTTGCCAGTTTACCTACATTGGCCGCTTGGTTCATTTAAGGGGCAGATCCATAGGACTGAATCTGATGATTATTTGGACAGAGATGACAATGGTGGCTGTGCAGCTACTGGCATTAAAGGAGAACTATGGGGGGTCAGGGCTTTTCCCCATAGTTCTCCTAAGGGTAACGGAGGACACAAACTAGCGTCCTCCCGTCACCCAAAGCTCAGTATACCGCGAGCTACAGCTCCCGTTATACTGAGACGCCTCAGCCGGGAGGGTTTCCGACATTACTGTCTGGATCCGCCCAGCTGTGTGAGAGACAGCTGGCTGTGCCTATCTAGAGGCAGAGCTGGCTGTACCCGCCCCCTCCCCCATCTGTTCCGCCAGTCAGCTCTGGAGGATCGGAGCGGGGAATCCAGTCCCTCCCCTGTCACGGCTCTCTGCAGTGACAGGATTGAGAGGTGAGTGAACGCCGGTATGTGTTCGCTCACTTCCCGATCTACTGAGCCGACCTGTGCCAGTCTCATTGTCACAGGTCGGCTAGAACTATGAGGATGAGTGAAAAGCACTCACCTCATAGTTCTCCTTTAATATAGATATAGTTTATCCAGACGGGTGTGCATACCCGAAAATGACCCGATTCCACAAGGGACTGGTGGTTGTACAACTGTGTGCAGCAGCTTGTTCTTCCCCACGGGTTGATGCGGTTGCATGCAAATGCACTTAGTCACATGCACACCCGAACAGGTCCAGGTGCCCACATCTGGACACACTGTCTGCATCCAAGTGCGGGCACCAGACCCACATGATGTACAGGTTCAGGAGTGCGGGTGACCATATGCAAGTGCGCACAGTCACATCCTCCCATAAGGAAGAGGAGGCCGCTGCACCCAATTACACACAGCACCCATCCCTTCTAGAACCGGGTCACTATGGGCGTGCGCACTGTACGGACATATGGAATGAGCCCCTAGACGGGTCAAACTCTGGGAGGCAACAAGGAAAATAGAAGTATGGCATTGCAACATTACAAAACTTACACCAGATCCCCCCCAGATCTCATGCCCTGGCACCCCCCGAACAGATCCCGCCCCCACAGACACGCTCCATTGAAGTGTACACACCAAGCCTCAGATTGTTACCTTGGACTCCTCGGCTGTGATCCGGTGCACGGCGAAGCGGCCCTTGGTATCGTACACCAGGCGGAAATATTCGGCGGTCTTGTCAATGCTGATGACGTCTGTGAAGTAGAATTGACATCGCTTTGTATTAGTCGCAGGGAAGTGATCCAGAAACCGGCTCATTCACTAAACATTCCCAGAGCAAAGTACGGCCGGGGTTCGGCTTTCAAAAACCCCGAGATCCAAAATACACACACGGCTCTGGTACCGCCCAACAGGAAAGGTCAGGATTTCCCCAGAATTCCAGCTTCCGATACATTTTATTACTGATCCATATAAAGTGGTTTCTGGTTGTCTGTCTCCTGCCCTCTGCACAGGACTCAAATGTGCTACAAGCAATGCAGCCCGGCACCGGACAGACGTCAACCCGTGAGTGGGCACCAGAGGAGCACCGGCTCAGACGTCAACCCGTGAGTGGGCACCAGAGGAGCACCGGCTCAGACGCCAACCCGTGACTGGGCACCAGAGGAGCACCGGGACAGACGCCAACCCGTGACTGGGCATTCACCTCGTCCCCGGTCAGAGCGTACTTCAGCCTGTTCCTCAGGAAGATGATGAGCGGCAGACACTCTCTCAGCTTGTGGGGCCCGGTGGACGGACGCGGGGCCTGAAAGACGGAAAATGACGGGTCACGCGGCTAATCTAAGCGACACTGAACCCCGAAAAAAAAATCTGAGCCATTTGTAGCAATAAAATGCATCTAAATCCCTCTGCTTGGAACATTTGGTATAATATACTCGGTGATCCATGCCATGAGGCCGGTATTCAAGCACTTCCCGTTACAGGGTGACCACCATCTCCCAACTGTGGCCCTGTGTGGTCACCTGATGAAAACTACAAGTGCCAGTGACATCCCACCACGCGTAGGAATGGGTCACTGTTGCCACCCAGTCACACGGGCCCCTGATAGACTACAAGCATGCGTGCCTGGGCACCATCGGGAATTTGATCCACAACAATGATGACAGGCAAGGCAGCGAGTGCACACAGACAGGAAGTGGCTAAAAAACGGATGCACGGGGGTCAGCAAAAAGCGTTTATCATATTAACGGCAGTTTAGATAACTGGGTGCACGACCTAACCCACCAGTCCGCCCCGTACTCACGAAGACACCGGTCAGCTTGTCCAGCATCCAGTGCTTGGGAGCGGCAACGCGCTTCAAGTGCTTCTTGGGTCCACGAGCCTGTGAGGGAGAGAGAGAGAGAAGACAAGACGTCAGAATACAGGGAGAGGTCAGGTGATCGTTACACAAAGTCTACATGACACCCTGGTGGAGTTGGAGATAAGGCGGTCACATTCATCTGAACCTACTCTACAAGGAAGCGTCACCGCTCATCCAACTGGCTTCCGAGGCGACTAAAGCCGCGCACATGTGACACGCGAGCAGCGCCACAAACATACGGAGGTTCAACGGGAAGTTCCAGAATAAAACTTTGTTTCTGTGTAATCTCACATCAATACAATGTAACCGTTTCCTGTGCAATGTCATGTGACTACATGGGGGGAGGGGACATGTATCAAAACAGAAAGAACCTGGAGCAGTTACCCACGGCAACCAGCTTCTCTCATTTTCAAAACTTAACGAAAGAGAAGCAGATTGGTTGCCATCGGCAACTGCTCCAGTTTTGATGAACTTCACCTCCACAAACCTAATATTACATAATAGTGGATATCTGGTAATCTGTGTCCTATAGGGAAGAATCCCTTCAAGAAAAAGAAACCCCCCGACTAGTCACTTAAATGCCCTGCCCCCCCCCCACGAACGTCTCCAGATTAACCATTCTGGACTCTACCAATATTGGTGTGGCCCCCTTAATGCTTTTTAGAGACTACTCTCAGGCTCCTCCCTCTTTGGTTGGGGTGCTGTGCTATGCGTAAGCTGCCTATCCGAAATGCATCAACCTAAAATCAACGAAACAGTCATTGGCAACGCTGATCATCGACAGCAGATCGAGCGCCTCTTAGGTAGGTACCCGGCAATAAGCACAGGACGGGGACTGTTATACCAACAGATTTGCTTTGTACAGGATGTCAGGGCGCCAGACTACGGCCACCAGTTAGTCGTCTCCAGGGCGCCAGCCAGCAAGTAGTCACCAGAGTGCCAGCTAGCAGCTAGTCGTCAACCGGGGCGACAGCCTGTGGCCGCCAGTTAGTCGTCACCAGGGCGCCAGCCTGCGGCCACCAGCAAGTCGTCACAAGGGCGCCAGCCAGCGGCCACCAGCAAGTCGTCACAAGGGCGCCAGCCAGCAGTACTACACACAAACTAACCAATAGCATCCCTTATGAGTATATTCCTTTTTAAGTGAATGCATTTTTCACCAAACATTCACGCGTGGCAGCTCCATCACTGACATTTTATCCCGTGCACCTGGAAGATTCAACGCTTTATTAACATGCCCCTAAGTAAATGGCTGACACCGATGATTGAACAGCAATAGGGGCCCCTAAAAAGAGCTCCTCCTGTACAGCATAGGGCCCCCTGTCCATCCCTCAGAGCTCCGCACAATGTACTATACAGTCAGCTCAGAGTTCAATCACATCACCCAGCAAACACCACCAACCCCATACAGATGCGGCCTGGGGACCCCCGACCACTACAACAGCCTCCCCCCGGGGGGTATACACATAACGGAGACCGGCTACAAGCGACCGGGGCCCGCACTACATTCCCGCCGGGCCGGTAGGCACACACAGGCCGCCATCACAGAGGATGGAGCCGGATTAGGGTCGCGGTAAAACAGAACAAGGTTCTCACCATGGCTGCGTCTGCAATAGAAAGGACCTCCCGCTTCCGGCGACGGAGTGATAAGCGTTCTGTGCAGGCGGCCGACGAGACAGCACTTCCGGGTTCTGAAGTGAGCAGCGACACCTGCTGGCCGGAGGAGGGTAACGCGCCGCAGGTCAATGATAGAAATGCAGCATAAGGTAATGTTTTAGTATTATTATTAATATTTTTTTTTTCACTTTTCTTCAATTGATAAAACTAATTTTGAATTTCGGATCTGTAATATATATTTATATTTGGACCATGTATTTCATGTCCTTTTGAAGTCGATGTAAACCTGAACTGAATCATATTTTCAGATTTATTTTGCTCTGTGAGATGTGTACCGAAACCCATTTTGTTTCACCTTATTTTCATCCTCTGTGACATCTCAGTGCTGCTGATCTCCGGCGGCCTCTTTGCAGCCACTTCCTGTCCTGGCTGCATGGAGTTTCTCAGATCCTTGTTTTTACCCCTCAATGCAGCTAAGTGCTACTGATCTCCTGCAGCTACTTCCTGTCTACATGCACCCGAGCGATGGATGCATGACATTTCTCAGGGAGGGTTTCCTGACGGTGTCAGCAGTGGACCGTGTCTGTGTAATGTGTGTTGAAGTGGCTGCTTGTCGTCTCCATTGGAAGCTCATGTGACAGGGTGACAACACAGGAGCAGAATTAGGAGCCAGGGACAGAGTGATGTCACCCTATAACAGGAAGTGCCTGAACAAGGACAGAGCATTGTCACCTTATAACAGGAAGTGCCTGACCAAGAACAGAGCATTGTCACCCTATAACAGGAAGTGCCTGACCAAGAACAGAGCATTGTCACCCTATAACAGGAAGTGCCTGAACAAGGACAGAGAATTGTCACCTTATAACAGGAAGTGCCTGACCAAGAACAGAGCGTTGTCACCCTATAACAGCAAGTGCCTGAACAAGGACAGAGCACTGTCACCTTATAACAGGAAATATCTGCGCATGGACAGAGCGTTGTCACCCTATAACAGCAAGTGCCTGAACAAGGACAGAGCATTGTCACCTTATAACAGGAAATATCTGTGCATGGACAGAGCGTTGTCACCCTATAACAGGAAGTGCCTGAACAAGAGCCATCACTGGCAGGATCGCCAGGGACTGTTTCAATTGAAGCTCTTTGCATTATAACACTGTGAGGCTGCCGTAAGGATGCTTCCTCAGGGGGCGGGTCTATGACACCCCCCGCACTCACAGTATGTCCTCAGTCTTGTAGGCTAAATGACTCCCAGTGGTTTTTTTTCCTGGGAAGACTGAGGACATCTACTGGCCAGATGGAATTACTGCAGGGGACAGGTAACTCATCCATAATAAATGGGTGGCCATAGCGCTAGGCATGTGAACGCACGACATTCTATGCATTAAAGTGTATGCAGCTTTTTTTAATTAAATACTGTGTTACACTATGGAGGCGCTCCTTTTTGCTGGTTGTCCTGGCCAGTGGGAGCTGCATCACTAGTGTTACTAGTTTGTGTGCATACAAGTCGCAGGTGCTGGCGGGAGGGGGAGAGAGAGGGGATAGTGAAAGGGGGAGAGAGAGAGAGGAGGAGAGAAGGGGGAGAGATAGACAGATGAAGGGGAGAAGGAGAGAGAGAGAAAGGGGGAGAGAGAGAGAGGAGGAGAGAAGGAGGAGAGATAGACAGATGAAGGGGAGAAGGAGAGAGAGAGAAAGGGGGAGAGAGAGAGAGGAGGAGAGAAGGAGGAGAGATAGACAGATGAAGGGGAGAAGGAGAGAGAGAGAAAGGGGGAGAGAGAGAGAGGAGGAGAGAAGGAGGAGAGATAGACAGATGAAGGGGAGAAGGAGAGAGAGAGAAAGGGGGAGAGAGAGAGAGGAGGAGAGAAGGAGGAGAGATAGACAGATGAAGGGGAGAAGGAGAGAGAGAGAAAGGGGGAGAGAGAGAGAGGAGGAGAGAAGGAGGAGAGATAGACAGATGAAGGGGAGAAGGAGAGAGAGAGAAAGGGGGAGAGAGAGAGAGGAGGAGAGAAGGAGGAGAGATAGACAGATGAAGGGGAGAAGGAGAGAGAGAGAAAGGGGGAGGAGAGAGAGAGAAGGGGGGAGAGAGAGAGAGGAGGAGAGAAGGGGGAGAGAGAGAGGAGGAGAGAATGGGGAGAGATAGACAGATGTAGGGGAGAAGGAGAGAGAGAGCTATAGAGAGAAGGGGGAGAGATGAGAGAGAGATACAATGATAGGAGAGTGATAATAATAGAGAAGATAGAAAGACAGAAGGAGAGGAAGGGACACACAGAGGGAAGGACAGAGAGCGCACACACGCACACACATGTATTCGAGCACACACGTGACATGACATGTTGGCGTGTTCCATTCTCGGCCTCCATGACTCGGATGATATTGCGGAGCGGTCTATATGGATGCAGACATAGGTGACATGAAGGGGTTAATGATTTGTATATTAGGTTCCCGGGCCCTCCCCTCTGTTTCTTCCATGTTGTGTCTGTTGGTTTTGGGATCAGTAGCTTTGTGTCCTCTGATTGGTCTGTTTGTACACGGTCGGAGATTTGGGAGATTCGGAGGGGCGCACTGATTTTACCTCCTCCCATCATTAAGGAATGGATACACCTGGGTGAGGCAATGTTGCTGCTGCTCTCAGGATACCTGGCTGCCTTCCATGGCTCTTCTGAAGTCTGCTCCCTACATTCCCCTCCATGATCCTTCCTGCTAGCCTGCTCTGCCATATGGGACCGCCTGGCCCTCCGGCACCATGATGCTCGGGCCTCCTCAGGATTTCTTGCTTCTTTGGCTATTTATTGTGGCCTTGCCTGCTGCGGCGGAAAGGAAGAGTGTGAGCGCGTTGATGAGGTGTGACGCTCTGCCGCTCATTCAGACATTGTTGGACCACGGGCCCCTGGAGCCCCGCACGGTGGCCAAACACGACCTGAGCTCGCAACACCTACACTTTATGCTGGCGCTGTATCGCCGATCGGCGGATGGCGACGGAAGGCCCAAGACGAGCAAGGTGCCCGGAGCTGCGGTGAGGCTGGTGAGGCCCGCCCATCAAACGTCTTTTATTACAGGTGAGAAACCGAGCCAAGTTGGTCCAGAAGTAGATCCGTTCTGTAAATGCACATAACTGCAGTACTTGCTGAATGGTGTGAACAGACCCTTAATCTGCAGCCTTCATGAAAATAGTCCTGCCATAAAGTTCCTTGTTTGCGCACTTCCTGTTATCAGGTGACAACACTCTGTTTTTGTCTCCCAATTGCACCCCTGGGTTGTCACCCTGTCACATGGGCTCTAATGGAGACTACAAGTGGCCATTTCAGCACACATTACACAGACATGGTCAGCTGTTTGTGTCGGGGTGCATGTAGACAGGAAGTGGTTGCAGGAGATCAGCATCACTGAAGGGTGCAAAAATCATAATTCTCTGCTGGAATCGACTGACTAGTTGCTATAGGTTACAGCAGGGGTGGGCCAACTTCGGCACTCCAGCTGTTGTGGAACTAGAAGTCCCATGAGGCATTGGAAGACTGAAGGCCACAAGCCTGACTCTTAAAAGGCTGGTGCATGCTGGGATTTGTAGTTTCAGCATAGCTGGAGTGCCGAGGTTGCCTACCCCTGGGTTACAGCGATAAGCTACTTAAAGCTGTTATAGCTATGAGCATATGTAATCTGTGCTGTTATCTCCATCGGAAGCCTGGGTGACTACAGAGGGGAAAACTGGGTGGTGGGGACACAGCGTTGTCACCCTGTAACAGGAAGTGCCTCTGTGGAAGGATGACCAGGGGTTATTGTAATGAAAGTTGCAGATTTAAATGCTTTTTGTGATGACTGTAACATGTTGAAGCTTAGGGGATGTTAGCGATTGGGTTTGCATGTACGGTGTCTCCAAAGCCAAAATCTTTGGGTCAAGATGGGCAAGGGTTGGACTCTCTGTTGGGTTTCTATCACCATCTGTGTCCCAGTGTGGAGTTACACCATTGCCATTTGCCCTGGTGACCCCTGTAACAAGGACTGAGCATGAGGGAACATTCTAAAATTGTAATTTGTCTAAGAATTGCAATAATGAGGAAATCGTCCAATAGGGACACAACTGTCTGCAAGGGTTTCCCTTAATTGGAGAGATTTCTTCTTACTTCCTGATGTGTCTAGAGGACAGGAAGTGAAGGTCCTCCCGATCTCCCCATTGGGACACAGATGGTCAAATAAAAAGAAACCTGGCAGTAGGGATGAGCTCAGGTTCAGATTGAATGTGGTGCAAGCTGGAGCTCCACTCAACCCAGAGGTGCCATGGGGCCACCTGCCCAATCAGATGTGGGATGGGGCATTTCCTGCCCCACAGCTTAACACGAGCGATGGGATGTTTGTGCTGATGTCATTGACCTTAGATGGCCACATGGCCGTTTTGGCTCAGTCGTTGACCTTCGATGGCCACATGGCCATTTTGGGTCAGTCGTTGATCTTAGATGGCCGTTTTGGGTCAGTCGTTGACCTTAGGTGGCCACATGGCCATTTTGGGTCAGTCGTTGACCTTGGATGGCCACATGGCTGTTTTGGGTCAGTCGTTGACCTTGGATGGCCACATGGCCGTTTTGGGTCAGTCGTTGACCTTGGATGGCCACATGGCCGTTTTGGGTCAGTCGTTGACCTCATACGGCCACATGGCCATTTTGGCTCAGTCATTGACCTTATATGGCCACATGGCCGTTTTGGGTCAGTTGTTGATCTTAGATGGCCACATGGCCGTTTTGGGTCAGTTGTTGATCTTAGATGGCCACATGGCCGTTTTGGGTCAGTTGTTGATCTTAGATGGCCACATGGCCGTTTTGGGTCAGTCGTTGACCTTAGATGGCCATATGTCCATTTTGGGTCAGTCGTTGACCTTGGATGGCCACGTTGGGTCAGTTGTTGACCAAAAATAGCCATGTGGCCATATAAGGTTAATGACATCACGGCATTGTGCCCCTTGGCTTATGTGCAAGTGTGGGTGGTGAATTCCCTGGTAATAGCTGATTGAGTGGCAGTAGAAGAAGCTTCCTTCTGCAATCTGAAGAACATGGGTCTGAACCTGAGTTCATCCCCACCTGGCAGGAGCGTCAGCCATTTCCTACTCTATCCCAAACCAAAAAACGTGTGGCCTTTTTAGATCTATATTTAACTGCAAATTATTTTGTTTTCCAGAAGGTCCTTGGTGGATCGAAGACTTGGCCTTCAACCTTCACGCTGTGAAAGCAGAGGAACTTCAAAGAGCAACCGTGATTCACCCAAGAGCACTTCATTTCAAGGACAATTACTATTTATGTAAGGTGGACCTCACGCCAAGCGTTGGCATCTCCTCCAAAACCAGAGTTCCCAGAGGAATGCGCAAGTGGATGGAGACGGACCTCACGTCCTACGTCAAACCGCTGGTGGAGCAACGCGACCATGTTTTGCACGTTCAGATGTCATGTAGGCAAGCTAGGAAGCGCCCTAGAGTCTCGTTGGCACTTTCCCCGACCCACATTCCCTTCTTGTTAATGTATTTCAATCACACTGTTCACAACCGATCTAAAGAGAACGCGGTCACTGTGCACCCGGCGAAGAGTAAGTTGGACTTGCCGGTACGGAAACGGCGCCGAGCAGAGGCTATCGGCATTAAGCTTCCGAAGATTGCCAAACAAGGCGGACAGTCCAATAATCGCTGCTCGCTGCATCCGCTCTGGGTCAGCTTCCACCAGCTGGGATGGGACCATTGGATCATTGCTCCACATCGGTACAACCCTGGCTTCTGTAAGGGAGACTGCCCTCAAATCCTTCATTCGGGTTACAACTCTCCCAACCACGCCATCATTCAGAACTTTATCAGTCAGGTCGTGGACGAGAATGTCCCCCGCCCCTCTTGCGTCCCTTACTCCTACGGTCCCATCAGTGTTCTCATGATTGAGCCAGGTGGCAACATTCTGTATAAGGAATATGAAAATATGATGGCGGAGTCCTGCACCTGCCGATAGGAAGAGGCCTTCCGGGCGTGATGGTGTCCGGGCGTGATGGTGTCCCAATCGTGATGGTGTCCCTGTGGTGAATGTTTCAAAAAAAAAAAAATTGTTAAGCACTTTATAAAACCACTTTAATATTGTTGAAAACCGATGTATGTGTAAATATGTGTGTGTTCTAATGTTGTGAGTCGTACTTATAGATGTGAGCTTCAAAGCACGACTTCCTTGTACTTGTGTAACCCTTTCCTTGCCTACCCCAAGTTTATAATAAACTGTATTTTTTCACTCCTTTGTAATCCGATGTTTGGCTCCCCGTTCGTCAAATGGTCAATGTTTGCTATGTCGGGTACATAACTGAGCCATGTGGACCAAGATCAGCCAACTGTATGGCTATATGAGCTTGCTGGACATCTCATTCCAAAACCATGGCCAAAAATGTTGCGTTGGTCCTCCACTTTGTAGCCATAACATCCTCCTATCTTCTGGGAAGACTTCCCGCAAGATTTTGGAGGGTGCCTGCGGGGATTTGTGACGTTGGGTACTGATGGTGGAAGAGAAGACCTGGCTCACAATTGGCATTCTTGTTAATCAAAGGTGTTCGGTAGGGTTGAGGTCAGGTTCTGATGTTGAATGAGAAGATCTGGTTAACAATTGGCATTCCTATTCATCCCAAAGGTGTTTGTAGGGTTGAGGTTAGGGCTCTGTGCAGGACACTCGAGTTCCTCCACACCAAACAAACCATGTCTTTATGGAGCTTGGACTACATACATATGAAATGAGCTCTTTTATTTGCTCTTTTATGAGCTCTTTTATAAATGGCCGAAGAAGAAGAAACTCTCAGTTCTGCTCAGTGAGCTCCCCATGCAAATTGTTGCCCCCGTTTCCCCCCCATCATGGCTCCCACTGGCTGCATTTTCTGCGTTAGTGTTCCAGGCTGGACACATGACACCGCAGGGTTCTCTTCACGGCTTCTCTGCGGTAGGTGGACCTTATGGTGAAGGAAGAGGGCCCTGGTGATGCCCCCCACTTCTGGGGCAGGAACATAACACTGTGCATTGTGGAATCCTCAGACTGAGGACATCTTGTGGCCAAGAAGAGGTACTGCAGGCGACGTTTATTATTATTATTATTATTATTACTATTATTATTACACAGGATTTATATTGTGTCAACAGTTTGCGCAGCGCTTTACAATATAAGGAAGACATTACAATCGCCATACAGTTCTCTCCACACCAAACAAACCATGTCTTTATGGAGCTTGGACATTAAAATGTAGTTGTGTCCCCTTTATAGTTAGAACATTCTCCACTCTTCTAGGAAGGCTTTCCACAAGATCTTGGAGAGTGTCCATGGGAATTCGGGCCCATTTGTGAGGCCGGGTACTGATGCTGGAAGAGAGAAGACCTGACTCGCAATTGACATTCCAGTTAATCAAAGGAGTTCAGTAGGGTTGAGGTCAGTGCTCTGTGCAGGACACTCAAGTTTCTCCACACTAAACCAGTCAAACCATGTCTTTATGGAGCTTGGATGTTAAAATGGAGTTGTGCCCCTTTATGGGTAGAACATCTTCCACTCTTCTAGGAAGGCTTTCCACAAGATCTTGGAGGGTGTCTATGGGAATTTGTGCTCATTTGTGACGTTTGGTACTGTCATCTGCGTTCCAGCTCATTCTAAGGGTATTCAGTAGGTTCAAGGTCCGGTACTGATGTTGGAAGAAAAGGCCTGACTCACAACTGGCTCTTTGTAGGATATTCGAGTGTCCACCACACCAAACTGGTCAAACCATGTCTTCATTGAGCCGGGTTTGTGCATGAGAAGATCTGGTTAACAATTGGTGTTCTAATTCATCCCAAAGGTGTTCAGTAGGGTTGAGGTCAGGGCTCTGTGCAGGAAACTTGAGTTCCTCCGCACCAAGCTGGTCACACCATGTCTTTATGGAGCTGGCTTTGTACACAGGGGACAGTCATGGTGGGAAAGCAAAGGGTCTTCACCAAACTGTTACCACAAGGTTTGAAAGAGGACAATTTGTACCCATTTGTGAGGTCAGGTACTGATGTTGGATGAGAAGACCTGACTCACAATTGGTTGTTCAGGACAAGATGGTAATGAGGGCCCCGCCCCTGAGGGCTTACATGGATTAAAGAGGAGTATTGCAGAAGAAGAAGAACTCCGGGTAATTTTTTTAAATAACCCTTGCAGTGGAGCTTCCCCCGTACTGCAAGGTTGAGTTGCTCTTTTTTTTTGGTCTGGGGCTGAAAATAACAAAGCCTGATCCTCTGAGCCAGCCGGCTGTAACTGCCTTCCCCCTCTGCAGTGATGGTATGTCCTTCAGCATCCTCACGTCCTTTTACGCTATGTATAGAATGTGGTGACTCTAGGACCTGAGAATGCTGCCGCGGAGGGTGAGAGAGGCTCCAGGGACCGGTCTTAAGAGCGAGCCGGCTCACAGGATGAGGTGAGTATGACTTTTTTTTATTTTCTTGCCCAGACCAAAGTGACCCTTTACCCCTTGCAGTGCCGGAATAGCCCCCTCAAGGGTTTTTTAAAATTACTTTTCACCTATAGAGGTCACAACCGCTCATTACTTCTGCTTTATTCCAATGGTACCCATGGTTAGGACGGGGCTCAGGGAGCTCAGAGAACTCTCATTCTGACGTTCTCAGATTTGTATACATTGTATTTCTTTACTTTCGATGTTATTACATTCTAAGAACCTTTATATATATATATATATATACTTTGGACTGTTTCATCTCAGTCTGACCCCCATGGGATCCCGGGGATGGAGGATTCCGCCATAATGAATGCTCTTCAAATATTTGCAGCCTTTAAGCCGGTTGCGCCTGTGGCGGTTAGGGATGCTGACGTAGGTTGGCCAAATATAAAGGGGACGCCGCCAGTCAACGGTCTTAAGTCAAAGCTGCCTGCTAGGAGGGGAAGGAGGCCGACGGAAAAAAACATGGTGTCCATAGGAGGATCTATGTGCATTATATTACTTCTATGTAACACCCAGGTGAGCATCATATTCAATATGATCAGAGTGACCGGTAAGCATTAAAGGTCCGGTCCACCCAAATCAGATATTTCAATGTGTGCGGAACGATATAGACAAAAATTATTTTGCCACAAAATTACAATTTTTCACAGAAGCGGAGATTCTAAATTTTGCTCATGGAACTGCTTCGGTGAATAACAGTCTCAATCTTATTTGGTGATTTTTATTTATATTGTTATAAAAGGCCTGACTCACAACTGGCTCTTTGTAGGATATTCGAGTGTCCACCACACCAAACTGGTCAAACCATGTCTTCATTGAGCCGGGTTTGTGCATGAGAAGATCTGGTTAACAATTGGTGTTCTAATTCATCCCAAAGGTGTTCAGTAGGGTTGAGGTCAGGGCTCTGTGCAGGAAACTTGAGTTCCTCCGCACCAAGCTGGTCACACCATGTCTTTATGGAGCTGGCTTTGTACACAGGGGACAGTCATGGTGGGAAAGCAAAGGGTCTTCACCAAACTGTTACCACAAGGTTTGAAAGAGGACAATTTGTACCCATTTGTGAGGTCAGGTACTGATGTTGGATGAGAAGACCTGACTCACAATTGGTGTTCCAATTCTTCCCAAAGGTGTTCAGTAGGGTTGAGGTCACTGCAAGCCACTTGAGTTCCTCCACACCAAACTGGTCACACCACATCTTTATGGACCTGGCTTTGTATACAGGGGACAGTCATGGTGCAACTGGAAAGCACCTTCACCAGACTGTTACCACAAAACTAGAGGAGCACAATTGCCCACAATGTCTTTGTATGCGGATGGAGATTGTATGGCTATGGACTTGATTTCATATGGTTTTGGAATGGGATGACCATCAAACCCATATTGGTGTAATGGTCAGATGTCTACAACCCTTGGCCATATATATTTAGTCACAACTAGATATACACTTCGGCTTAGTTCATACTTGCCTATAGGCAGCAGAGGATAAAATGTGCCCTTTTCTTGTATCATGAGTCGCCATGCATGGTTTCCCATTATCAGTAGGAAGTCATCTCATACAAGTTCATTTACTCATTACAACACTTTTCTAAGCCAGGTCAAGACCAGTAAACCATGTAAATGGCCTGAGCAAGAAAGGTGATCCTAGCAGAGGGCTACTACTTGGGGTGCCAATACTTTTTCCAGTCATGAAAATCCGGCCCACATTCAGCCCATCACCACCATGGACAGGGTCATGGGAGAACCTAAAATTGCACATGTTTGGGCAGACCTAACCAAGTCAACAAGCTTCTGGGCAGCTGGGTCTTGTACAGATAACACGTCCGGTCAGCTCTCCAACAGAAGAAGAGGTCCTACGATGAAAGTATAAACTAATCATGTGACCAACCGATTGGTTATCTCATGGGTAAGGCTGGTCACATGACCATGCTTTGTTTTGATTCTTTTTTTTCTACTTCCCTTTTTCCAAAGTCTTCAGGCCGGTCATGTGATGTGCAGGGTCCCCTTTTGAGATATATACCATTTTTTTTTGTACACAGCAACATATAAAATAAACATAAAATAATAAAATAAAATGTAAAAAAAATTAAATCTAAATTTATTTACAAATATTTTATTATTATTTTTATTTCTATTATTGTTTATTTTTGTATATATGATTATTTGTATACTGTTAAAAAAAAAATGCAAAGTGTGTTTATCGCGGTAATATAATCTGCTTGCGGCATTGTACTGTTATTTTGTAGCACGTACAGCAGGGGGAGCTAAACTCCGGCAATCCAGCTGTTGTGGAACTACAAGTCCCATGAGGCATTGCAAGACTCTGACAGCCACAGGCATGAATTCCAGAGGCAGCTGCATGATGAGATTTGTAGCTTCATCCTGGCTCATGTGCCAAGGTTTGGCTACCCCAGATATATACACTTTTTTAGTAGGGATGCACCGATACCAGGCACAAGTACTTGGGAAAATGCCTGCATACTAAATTCTGATACCGGCGCCTAAAATTCTTAAACGA